AGCCATGTTATACAGAGCAAATAACCTAATCACAATTACAACCTAAATCTCACCTTATAGGATGGTGGTTAAACGTGACGATTTTTTTTTCCCGCAAAGTAAGTCAAGTTAAATCAACCCAAATGGGGCTTAAAAAAAAAAAAAAACCCACAAAACAAAACTGCCTCCCACATTGTAACAGAGTTAAGATAAGTTTAACTAGCTTCCTAACCGCTGGCGTGTTTTCTTTAATTACTCAAAGATTCTGGAAAGTTATAGTCTAGCAATCTTGTTTACAAACTATGACCTTACTATGGAATTTCATAACAATGCCTCTGTCCCATTACCTAGTTTTAAACACAAAATTCATTAATCAGGTTGAGGGAGCTTCGTGGTCTCGAGGCATGGTGTCCGCCTTGAGTGCTAGGGGTTCTAGGTTCAATCCCCAGTAAGGGCTGGGCTATTTTCACGTTGACTTGGACTCCTAGTAATTCCCCCTGGTCTCTGGGTAGTGAGATCGGACGTCTGTTTGCATTGCTGCGCACGTAAAATAAATCTATTGGCATTTGAAAATCGTAAAGAGTAGCCTAACGGCGCTGCCCGGACAAAACTTTGAGTTAAAAATCTACCCAAAGTATTTCAGGATCCTCGCTGGTGCTACAAAGCGTGTGCACTGAGCTAAGCTTCTTGTTAGAAGAAGAACGGAGCACGTGTGACATGATGCTGATCCGTTATTTAAACTTCAAACTTAAAACACATAAAATGCATTAATTAGGTTGACAAATGATCTTCCATTGGCGTTCACGAATGCGTCCGCTTATACGAGCCCGAACTCTCTCATTGGGCCCCTCAATATGTAAACAAATCTCCGTTCTAGAGGTGGTGCCCAGTTGAAACTCGCTTGGTGTAAATTGTTGAAATTTTAAAAATAGTTTTGTAGGAAAATAATTTTAATGTTAACAAACATCTAGGTACTAGTTTGCATTATTTGTAGTATATCCACACACACACACACACACGCACACACACATGAACGACCCAGAGTATACATTTGGTATGTCTAAAGTAAATGGTTTGAGGCGAAGTTGTTAAAACATCAAACTACACGCATTTTAGAGGTAACTAGTGCGAGAAGCTTGAACATGTGCTTCGAGGGGAAGACAAGTACTGGCACGGAGATGGATTAGAAATTGTTCAGCCAGTTACAAATATCAACCTACGGAATCGTCAGATTCGGAATGATTAAAACCTTTTTTTTTTTTTTTTGATAAGTGGATGAATCTCATCAACCCCTTAGGTGTATCTACAAGAGAAAATATACATTTTGATTTCCATGTGTGTCCATCATTATCATACAATTTGTGGTATAGTTAAGATACACCTTGAGGTCTGATAGTGGCCAAAGGAAATACTAACTGTTGCATATTGGAAACTTGTTTACGACTGAACATAAATGACAACAAATAAATTTGCTTCACAAATCAATGTATTTTACAGATACTCATCTGAGAAAAGACACTTGAAATCAACATATTAACTGTAAAATCTAAAATATCATTCTATTTATTTAAAATTATTCAAAAACATCAAAGAAATAGCCTGGTTAGCAAACTTATGAGCATCTGTTGACTAAGGAATAACACCATGTTTGAGTCAGAAGGAGGATTGCAAAACATCATTGCGGTCTAACAGGCAGTTTTCGAGAAAATAGACTACAAATTTGTTTACAAATTTCCAAACAGACTATAGTAGTAATAATAATTATTAAAGTCCAGTAGCAGCAATAACAGAAATGTATAGTGGTAGAGGTAGCTGTAGCAGTGGTACTGGTACTAAAAGTAGTGACAGTAGAAGCATCGACAATTGTTGTAAATATCATGTTAACATGTATGATACCATACTGCGCAATTCAGCGTATTCACTGCTTGTATAGTTTACTAGTGTATTGCGGTTTGAGGGCCCCCAAAAAAAGTTGTGACTGAGTACAACAGGGTTGCATACAGTGGTAGAATACAACCGAAAGATGGACGAGCAGAAGTCTGACAATGTACAAAGAAGATGAGAAAGAGAAAATGATGGAATTCCATTGCTGTCAACTTTTACTGTGATGCCGTCACCCGCTTGAGTTTGGAAGCCACGCTTTTGAACGTCAGTGACGTATGTTTACAAACTTTGAATGAAACCTACAGAAAGCCCTGCCAAGTGGTAACCCAGGCTATAAAACCTTTTAACCGCCATAAAAGCACCCCTGTCTTGACACACTGGGAGGCTCTTCAAAAGCTTAAAAACAGTACGTCATGTTGCACACACACATGCATGCACGCACAAACATCCACATATACTCCCACAAGGTAATATTCAAAGCTATATCAGTTACGTTTTTAACAGGCGTGGTATGCTTCTATGTGATTGCGATAGTTCAGTTTTCTGTTTGTCGTAATTGCAATACTCCTTGCCTTAACCCTAACACTAGGACTCCGAGAAAAAGCTAAACCTAGGACCCAGGGGAGAAGTTCAACCTAAGAGCCAGGGAAGAAGCTCAACCTAGGACTTATGGGAAAAGTTAAACCTAGGACCCAGGCGAGAAACTAAACCTATGACCCAGGGGGTGAAGCTAAACAAAGGACCCATCAAAGAAGCTAAACCTAGGACCCATAAGAGAAGCTAAACGTAGGACCCAGGGGATAAGCTAAACCTAGGACCCAGGGGATAAGTTAAACCTAGGACCCAGGGAAAAAGTTAAACCTAGCACTCAGTATCGGAGCTGTTGACACCCTCGATGATCTGGGACTGTTATTCGGAGGATTGTTTCCCGCGGTGTGCTGTATATTAGCCGGAAAGAAGTCTGCAATTTACATGTGTTTGAAGCCCTGTTAGGGTCTTTTTTTTTAGCATCGATAATTTGATAATTTGGGAAAGTTATTCGAAGGATTGGCAGGAAAACTGTAGGAGGACTAAACAGTGAAGATCTGCCACTTCGTTTAGAACAAAGGCATTTTCAAAACGTCGCAGAAGACATGTCCAGCAAGAAGGTGTGTGGTATGCGCAACAAAAAGTAAAACGCGACAGGAAACCAATTATATGTGCAAGTACTGTTGTGTGGCATTGAGTGTTACATCTTGTTTTGAAATATTTCACACACACATAAACACACAAGATATTATTGATAATATTTAAAACTATGTTTCTGCTTACTGTAGTGTTTTGTGTTTGCTTTGCACGTTTTTAGTGTTTTCTTTCTGTTAATGGGTGTTGATGGCGTAGCCATAGCGCCTGTGACTTGTTAGCTCAAAGGTCAACCATATCGTTTCAAAAAGTTTTTTTGGGGGGCGTACAATTTTTACCCAGCACCGGCGGCGCGTCTTCTGCTTTTGCAGGGAAAAAAAAATATTCAGCACAAGAGGAAGAATTAGCACTCTCTTGGTCTATCACAGTATAGTGAACGGCTAATGAGGAATATGTAGAAGGGAAAGGGTTAAGTATACACATGGTTTTCCTATACCTCGATGAAGGCTCGGCGAAACATCGTCTCTCTCTCTCTCTCTCTCTCTCTCTCTCTCTCTCTCTCTCTCTCTCTCTCTCTCTCTCTCTCTCTCTCTCTCTTTCTTTTTCCGTTTTTTCCCTGTGTGTGTGGGTGTGTGTGTGTTTTTTCTATATCAATGGCATTGTTATTTATTGTAGATGTTGTGTTTGATTTTTATTTTTTTTTTTTAAGCCTGACAACAATTGAAACCGCATTGTGGCTGATTATTAAAATTTGATTACAGATTTCAGAACTATCCAGCTTACACTGGGTGATAAGAAATCCTTTAGGAAGTTAAGGAAAAAAAAGTTTTCCCCCATCACCTATGGAGTTGCCTTTATTCCATACACATATTAGTCTAGCACTGTATATCCGAAGTGCCAATGGCTTTAATTTTCCTTTACTTCATAGCAATCAGTCTAATTGGTAATACAGTTCTAAAATATGTTCATCACGATTATCATGTGCTTTGCAGACGAGACATGTTTGGCTATTTCATACGTTCATGAGAATCACGTGTAAGGCCAGTGCTCTTGTCTTGTCCCATCCATCTCGCCCAGCCGTGAAATGTACTGACTGTCTATAGTTGATTTCCTCATTACATTGATCTTTTCATCACAAAGAAAACATTGGTGAAGAACATTTGTAAACGAGTGTCTACTGTTTATGGAAGGTGTAAACGAGCCAACCTAACCATCCGAGATCGAGTGAATAATGAAACAATCAGGCAAATTGTGGGAACGACACCTTGTACTAGATTCATTGAGAAACAGCAGATCAAGTGGTTTGGCCATCTCGTTAGAATGCAGCAAGATCAGATACCATCACAAGCATAAAATTTCAGAAGATCAGCTACAAGAGCAAGATGACGGCCGCGGAAAAAAATGGATCGACAACATTAAATACACTCTACGCCGTCACGGCATGACAACAGCCAGTGGCAGCCAACGTACACTGGATCACAAATTATTCCTCCCCACGCCGCTTAACGGCGGAAGTGGATTATGATGATGATGGAAGGTGTGCAGTCGATACGAGCATTGTTGGTCGTTAGCCTCGTTAGCGAATTAGAGAAGAAACATGATACATCCAAGGTACACTTTTATTTGTTTCACGCTGCCTTTGGGTCACAGAAGTGGATACCTATTATACAGACGCTTAGAATATGTAAAGGATATAAGGAGTTATACTGTCGGTTAACTGTATACATTTTTAACAGCACAACATCCGGGACGAAGGCGAGGAGAAGACCAAGAAAGAGGTAAATAGTGAAAACCAGGACACTGGGCTTCAACCTGGTATCAGTGAGATGACGAAAGAAGGGGAAAAAAAAGAGCTGCATACATTTTGCACACAAATTGTGCGGGATAAATGTGGAGTACCTTCTGAAAGCGTCTCCTAAATCTAGAATTTTTCTAAACTATTCGAACCACCTCAAAGATGCGTTGTTAAATTTACATCTCTTTTTTATAAGCTACGTCCAATGGAATTTAGTATATTAAAAGTTAACAAATAAAAAACCGTGTATAGCAAAAATTGCAAGCAACATGGAGCTCGCTAAAACGACAGAGGCTGTCCTAGCAGGGGGGCTGCCGCATTTGCCGTCCTTGTCAGTTTTTTGTCGACCTGAAAAATACATTGTCAAAAATGACTGTGATTCATTTTAAAGATAAGATTATAAAGGTTTACACACAAAAAAGTCTTTCTTCTTTTTCTTCTTCTTCTTCTTCTTCTTCTTCTTCTTCTTCTTCTTCTTCTTCTTCTTCTTCTTCTTCTTCTTCTTCTTCTTCTTCTTCTTCTTCTTCTTCTTCTTCTTCTTTGATGGCCGACAGTAAGCTCTGACAGAAAGTCTCGATTGTTCGTCCATTTGGACTTAGACTTTGTGCTAGGGCCTGAGTTTTGCGTGTACATCCGTTTAATTAGCTTACTTGTGCGCAGTTGGATGTTACCTTGCAGCTCGCGCAGATGCACTCAGACTTCGAAGGATGTCCCCAATTAGTAGACTCAGAAGATATGCTTGTTGGGAATGCAGTGGGTCTTTTCTCGTTTTCCCCTACAATGGGACCCCGGAACCCACACAGTGAGTACTTCTCACTTGAACGATCCTTTTGATGCTATTGACTCTTTGCCATATAATGCTAGACCAGTTTTTAGACCTGTAAGTACTGGGTGGATAATGTGGGCGACTTCAGCCAGCCGCTTTTTGCTTCACAGGGTGGGTGGCTTAGATGTATGCTATAGGCCTGTGAGATGCGAAGAACCGAGCGACAGGGTGGAAAAAAATGAGGCGAAGTGGGTTCTACCCCATGATCACTTTTTCAATTACGAAACCGTAACAAAACCATAAAAATCATATCTGGTGGTATTGGGAATAAAGATCGGCACAGCCAGGCACGAGAAGCACTCCTGACGCACGAGAATTCCTGTCAACCAACACAGGACTGGGACTATCAACCGCGAGACGCTGATATATATATGTTGAAGGGGGAATCTGAGCACACATGGACGTGTCGGGAGTGCCGTGAAGATAGCTCAAACCATACCTCATAACTCATCTGGTCATACTGACCCATTTGGATTCTGCTCTCGCTACAGAGACTTGGGCGCTGTACTGACATTCTCATTGATGGATTCATAGAAGCAGACCGGATAACTTACGTAAATTATGTAACCAACATCAAAACAATATAATATATAAACTATTAATTATCATATCATGGCATAGCAAAGTCAGGTAGTACCGGGTGTCAAAAAAATTCCCTGTCAACCCAAACATACACGCACACACACACACACACACACACACACACACACACACACACACACACACACACACACACACACACACACATACAAATGCACACACATTCACACACGCGCGCAATTTGTTTTAGGTTACAAACACAATTTTTGCTATTGTGTCCACCACTCCACCTCATTGTCGACACCCAAAACTGTCCGTGCACCGACCCCGCTCCCTCTACCCCTCACAACCCATGTTTCTTCGCCACTGGCCTTGGTGGTCAAATGATGTATGACAGGCTGATGTGGTCAAGGTCCTTAAGCAACCATAAACTTGTCACTCTGGTAGATATAAAAGAAAGGAGGTATAAATTGCTAACCCTATACGAACACATGTTGATGCTGATGAAGGTAGTGGTGGTAGTTGTGAGGATGATAATGATTAGTAAAAAGTAAAGATCCCTTTTAACGCCTTTCGGCGCATCGGGCATATGGGCAGAGCGTCCCATATTTTTACAGACCATCAGCACTCTTTGGGTAATGTGGTCAGCATTACGCCGGCTGTCTTTACTTTCCCAGGACAGCCCATCCTGGTACCCATTTTAGGCTGGGTCGACCTGCGACGTCCCATACCACGACAAAAATCCACGCAGCCTGCAGTGGGTTTCGATCGCGGTATGCTGGCTTACGAGTCGGACTCGCAACGCCTTAGCCACGGACGCCACTGATAATGATCATGATGATAATAATGATGATGATGATGCTACTTTGTGTTTCGCTTAAGTACTTACATGAACAGAATTTACACATGTGAGGGCAAGCTGCAGAGATAGATGCACACCGAGCAGACAGGTAGGCCTCCTCCTTCCCACATGCGGGCAAGTCTTGGGCGTCGCAGTTTACTGCCAAGACAACATGGTCAAGCATAATAAGAAAACAATATTGCCTTAAAAGAAATTGTTTATCCATCACAGGACATCATAAACTATCCCCGGAATATATATGTTGTTTGCAGTTTTTAATGATGGCATTGGCTAAGTTGTTGAACCCTTTGCATTGCATTCTGAAAGACGTGGGTTCGTTTACATCGTTCCACGGAAAACGACGGAGCCGTTCAAGATAAGATTTGATGTAATGAAGGTAATTATCTTAACTAAATATGTTGTCTTTTCAGTGTCTTTTAGATTTACTTTGGAATTTAAGATAGTAGTTTTCTTTTGCTTCTTCTAACTGATTGACGCTTATCAACAACAACAAATATTGTAGGAGTTCTAAACAGTACTGTGTAGAACCAGCCCTGGCATTTGTGGTGCTTTTTGATTTCACTAGACAATTTTACGTTCAGTAGTTTGCCACTGCTACATCGGCTCTCGTTACAACAGTTGAACCCGAAGCAAGGTGGTCTGCTGTCAAAAAAAAATGATATCGATTTCGATATTATTGATGGAATCCAGTCGAGCACCCTTGGTTTCTCTCTTTGACTCTAGTTTAAGAGGTTTCTTTAGCCTTATCGCCGTTTCTTCAGTACCCAAAGAGTGTGGCTTGTCTGCTTCTGTTTCTATGATGAATGTGGATTGTTTGTTGCTCATACAGTTGTGAAAATCAATTTAAGGGGTCACTACACGGCATTTGTTTCCAATTTATGACAAAAATATCACTTTTTCAAAGTGTTCATTTTTGTAATGTTCGGCAATCGTAGAATTGATTACACACAAAATTTGTGTCATTGGTAAACAATTTAGCATTGAAAAGTTAATACTAAAGACACCAACCCATGCACTTTTTTAAGATAAAAAAAGTTTAAAATTCACTTTTCAAACAATTCTATTTTTCTGTTTGTTGTGTGTGGGATCTCCTAAAATCTCAGCTAATATAAAGACTAGAGTCGTGACATTTGGTGTGGATACTTCTAACACAATATTATAGGGTCAGGTCTATTTGAAATTACAGTTTATTAAGTCTTTTTTTTTAATTTTGATTATTAAATGAAAAAGCTACATTTTTGTATTTTTTTAACATATCAAAATTTTAATATTCTAAAAAAAAATTTTAGAAACATCTTTGAAGTAAATAAACAAGACCTGACTGTGACGTGACGCGTGGTTTAAATGTTTATAATGTTGAGTAGGGATGTTCCTCTCAACACATTCTCTCCACCAGATTAACCGAACTAAAGTCTGAGCTATGTTGCTCTCAGACAAAGTCCTGGATACCCAAGAAAACAACCATATTGGCTCGGTAAGTACATTAACATTAGCTGAACTTGGTACCCACGAGAGAAGGAAAGGAATTTTAGATGTCTATAGCATTGTATTAAATGAATTATTAGACAGGGCAAATGATTCCTCCGTCATCTACCTTCTCCCGGTGTTATTATAAATAATTAAAGAATTATTCTATTAATTGAGCTCCCACCAAATGGTATTCTATCCTAACAGTTTAATTAAACATGTAAGAACAGACATTTGGAATTACAAAAACTGATGCAGGATAAAACTTGACATACAGCTTTATTTACTAAAATGAACTTCCCAGTTTGTTGATTTACCCAAACAGTGACTGGCTACAGTTATAGTAATTATAGTGGTACGCTTCAGCAAGAAAACAGCTCCGGGGTTTAGAGTGGTATGATGATGGTGGTAGGTTAAGTCAAAATTTGTTAACTTAGCTTATAAGTCTCTGACAGCCGTGAGGAACTGTCAAGCTTGTCCAACTCTTCCTTGCCTGTTTTCTGCCTGTTTCAGCTTATTCTCCACTTCATCCCCACCTCGTTCTCCACCTGGTTCCCAGCTGGCCGAGTCTAACACAATGTAGTCTACTTCATGGATTGATCGTCACATGGGCGCTGTAATCATGGAAACAAAACACATACGTGTAGTATCTTGACTTACACTAAGAATACATGTATCAATTATTGTAACATATAATAATAAAATATATCCCATCACTCCTCCTCATATTCCACATCCTCTCCAGTCTAGTCTGAAGGTCTTTTGTCTTACATGGACGTCACATATCCTGCCTTCCCTCTTCATGCTATGTCATGATAGTTGACTTTCTAAGTCTGTTGTTCGTCATCACTCAGACTTCCAACTGGCTGACATTGATATTACATGACCACGTGGAGCAGGTAATGTGCTGAAAACTCCAACACTTTATATGTGCATGCTGTCCTGAATATTATCTTTCAGTGACAGTAAATACGGTACACCCATCATTCTTCCCCTGGGGTTATAAATCCCCTGTTCAGGTGAACACATTAAGTGAGCACATGGTGGGCACACAAAACGTAGCAGCATCCCTGCACATATGGGCATGAGTTCCCACAGTCCAAACTCATATTTTGGCTGATCATGGAAACAATATAATTACATTTCATTCTAGCAAATGTCATTGTTCACATCTTATTTTATACACATGAAAACATACATACACTGAAAAACATGTGACACAAACATACAAGAAATAGGAATAGTTTAGCAGTTCCCTAACTTGAGATACTGAATACTCACAAAGAACTATTTCAAGCAGAATGTGCAGACAAATTAGGAAAAGGTAGTATAGACTAAGCTTAACTCCTTAACATATGTATACAAGATTAAAATTAATATTCACCTGGGAACTTTCCATCAATCGCCAAAACAGAATGCGACATTAAAATACTGGTACGTCGACCTGTGTTTGTTTGCCGGCAGGCTGCGATTAATGACGGGAATTCCACAGGCTCGAAATATAAGTATCAATCTATTGTCCAAATTAAACTCCTCCCTTTACTCCGTTCTACCCAACCCTCAAGACGATTACTTAAGCCCCGCCTACGGTGTACTTCTCAGATCAAATTAGCTAACAAGTGGCCTGTCAGTCAATTCTGGACTGACGTCCCTAGAGCGAACATTCTTAAGTGACCCAATCTAGTTTACACCGAATCTAACTAGCCGGTGTGAAAACGGTCCGTGAAGCCAGTGTGTTTACTACTTGACCCAGATCAAACATTCCTAATTGCCAAACACCTGTTCTGCCAAGAATTACACTGACTTGCGAAACTCCGACCTCTCGGCTCCACAATGTCTAGCGTCCACTCAATTTACCTGGTCAAAAGGGCCCCGCTCAGTCTCTACAGTCTGGTCAGGAGATAACATTTATGACATGGGCATGTGAAAGGAAATTCTCTAGCCCCGGTGTAATTGCGTAACATTACCCAAGACTCAGTCGCTTTGTCTGGACTAAGGACTGGAAACATTTAAATCAGTTTGGTTTAAAGTAATATTAGGGTAAAGGGCAGAGTAAATATAATCCTCTCTCTTTAGAACCAGAAGAACTTATTACAAATACTAACTTCTGGAACCACTGAGATCGTATCGTGACACTGACCCTGAACATAAATTTAAAGTTCATGAATCAATCATCTGTTTCTCAATACCTCTGTTTGTTGTTGAACTTTTAGCTGTCTGAGTACATGTTGTTTTTTCATGGCAACCATGTGTTTTTTTTTTAAACTTGAAGTCTACAAATGTATCAACATACATCCCTACTAATGACCATTATAAAATAATTGGTCTGAGATTTAAAGTAAAAAAAAAAAAAATATTGTTTCCTGTAGTGACCCCTTAAAGCCATACTGTATCAAATC